GAGCTGCCCGGTTATCAGTACTTACTGAAGCAAGATGAGTTTGTATTACATGCTTTTCATAGTCTGAAAAACCGCAAGGACACAAAAATTTGAGGTCTCTTTCACGGTGAATGAAAATGTCCTTCTTTTGCCCAGCAACGGGAGCCTTGAAACTGCGTATATGCCAGCTGTTGGTACCTTCTTGACATTTTTTATTTTCAAAATGAGTTGCGAGGTCGGAATCAGAGCTGGAGATATAGACATTGCACTCAGGGCAGTATACTTTGCTGATGTCTTCTCAGAGAGCCTGGTAATTATATCATAAGCCCGATGACGCAGGACGAATGTGGGTAATATACAATACCTCAGAATCGGCGCTGGAAGGTCTTCCTGTAGTGTGTGGTGACAAACTGTCAACACCCAAGTGACCCTGATCATCCACGAGTGCAGCGGTCCTCAACCGTTTCGAAGGTCGTTCTTCCACTTGGTCCTGACATTATAAGATCACGGTGTCACCTCATGGTAGAATGGGGTTGGAAATGACGCACCTCAGAATTGCTTGCTAAACTTCGGCGTTTATCCAGTTGATGATTACGGGAAGCCTAGTAAGTGATCACATCTTAGCTAGACAGTAGTGCAATCGATCACAGTAGCTCAAAATACCTCATAATCAGCAGGTGGCCTATCAGTGTTAAGAGTTGCAATGGGATCATCAACTAGGTTGCAGGACCGACCCAGACCGCCAGCTGAGGCAACAATCAAGCGGTGTATGCCAGAGTTGGACGGGCGAGATAATTGGACGGCAGGTGCTGTAGTGGCTGATGGAAGGACTACTTTGGAGATGGATGACACCATACCAGTCAGCTGAGCCAAGGCAGCCCGCAAATTTTCAATCTCCTCGAGAAGATCGCGGTTACAAAGGAGCATCAAGTCAGGATTTGAGGCTGCGATGGGGCTACTCGTCCACAGGAGCGAAAGAGTATTTTTAGAGGAAGATTGCCGGTGAGCATACAATGCCTGGAGTGAGAGGGCATCGTCTTCATTGGGTATATCTTCTTTGAATCCGAGAAGTTCCTGCCAAAGGTCACAAAACTGCATTGTTCGGTGAACCATAGTGCTGGTGAGTCGAGGGTGATCATCATGCGCTCGGGCATACATTCGATCACCTGTATTCTGGCTGTGGCCCAGCTGGGAGTGTAACACGTCATCAGTTCTCGGAGTCAGGACATCTGAGATCCGGTAGTGTTCTGCGATGCCAGGGAGAATGTGCCTCAATGAACTCATATTAAGACTGACTTTACCAGGAAGGTATTTGCTGGTGAGTCGCTGGAGGATACGAGACAGACGTTCTGATGTCCATCTCTGGCCCTTGCTAGATAGGAGATAACAGTGGTGATGGGGATCAATGGACTCTGCAGGAAGGACAAGATCGATAGCCCATGCGCCAATGCTAGCCACAGACGCTTGAAATCGCCTCAGTACGATTTCTAGAGGACGGGCCAAGAAATGAAGAGTGAGCTTGTCATTGCCAGAGTTCCGAGATGACTTGTTGTAATCGCCTATACAGGCAAGACGACGAAAAAGATACATGAGATTGCGACTTCGGAAGCTTGTGTCGACAATCTTCGCCTGAATTTCCTCAGCACCTCGTTTCGGCATTCCAGGGATCTGATGGAATAAAAAATAGAAGCACTCCTTGAATGCTTCGATATCCTCCAAATATTGTTCCCATGCGCCCCTTTGCGGTACCGGATATCCACTGGAATCGATGGTAAAGTATTTCTTCAAAAGCTTTTCGTCGCTCATGATGAACTTCATCAAGTTCCATGCAGCCTGCATTTCTGAAACCAATACACCATGTCCAAGGACACGTTCATGAAGCTTGTCCATAATTTCCTCTGGTGCCTTGAGAGGCTGTAGATCCGCATCGCTGGCTCCGAATAGAAGATTTTCTTCCAGTATACGGACCATATCACGATAGACGCTGTGATACATCTGTGTTATGGAGGTCACAGACAGAGACTTGCCATCAAAAGTGAAGTCTGGTCCGCCTGATGTCATAAACTGGAGTCTAGGTAGCGCTATGTGTCCTCGGCATATGGAATAGCACAGTCGGGAATACCTTCGGATGGTGCAAAAAGGCGTGCGCAAACCAGGCTCTATCCACACTTTCATGGTCTTCATGAACGTTCTAGGAATGAATAACGATCAGTAATCAGATTGTCAGATTGTTGATATGCTTACTGGTAAGGATCTGGGGACATCATGACTTCGGTTAAGATAGAGAAAAGCGCAGCATAAACGATTTTGGACAAATGGCTGGAGATCAGGTGAGGCGACACAAATTGACCCTGTACGTTGATGCTTGTGGACATGATAAATGAATCAATGAGAGAGTGAAGGGGCTGCGAATTGTCGTTGGTGTGAGTTGTGAACACGGACAACAGGAGTAAATGATAAGCTTTCATGAGTTGTTCTTCAGAGGAGTCACGGTCAGCACAGGACTCTCTTAGCACCTCCGCACGTTGCTTCTGGATGGTGTTCAGGAAGACAGGGTAGGGTGCCAGATCATCTATGGCGTCCAGGCTAGTCAAAATCTCGGATTCATCTTCATCAGGCTGTCCCCTCTCTCTTTCATCGTCATCTGCATCTCCATCTGCGAAATCCATGTCGTCCCAATCCAACCCTGGACTGATAACATCTTCTTCAACACTTTTATCATCCTCCTGTTCTCCATAGTCGGAGCCGACCTCGCTGCATGTCCCATCATCAGAAGCGGTATGAAGGAACTTGATGCGTAAAATCATCATAATAAGGCGATCACAGTGAACTCCGTAGGCTTCAACTGAGCGTTTTTCCTGCAGCATCTGGAACGGACGACTTGATTCAACCATCAGTGAATAGTGGACATAAAGTATTATTACAAAAACCTACTATCGAGTGCGCCAGCTCGTGAGCGCATCCAAGAGAGCATGATCAATTTCTGATGCAGAGGAAATTGTGGAGAGGTATTTTGTTCCGATGCCCCTGATACGAGCTAGGCAGTCGATATCCTGCTTGTAAACAGAAAGATCTCGTAATGTGGCCAGGGAATATCCTTCTGTGGCTTGGGCCCAGCCAGCATTTGTCAAAAAAGGCGAGTGTTCTGCAACATCTGAGGTTTTAGACAAGTCACCTGTAACAAATGCGCCGTTGATATACCAGGTAGAAAGTGTGGAATAGAACTTTGCGAAAAGATGATTGGGACCGACATTCTGTAACATGACATGGACGACAAAGTACTGGTTCTTGGAAAATAGACGCTGAGCAAAAACAGGTTGATCTTGTTTAAAAATACACGGCCCCAGATCGCAGCGTGAATGGGTTTTCTTTCCATGGTCCAAAAGCGAATCAAATGTTCCGGCCACGTAGGCACAGTGACGGCATTGGTAACCTCGAACAGGTTCTAGTAGCCAAGGAAGTGGAGGGAGAGTGCGCTTTGGCAAAACTATTGGGCGTTGAGAATATTCTGCAGCGCCAAGTCTTTGGCTTGCTGCTTGGATTGTAGTTTCTAGAGTGGTTTTCTTGATGTTATGTGATAGACGTTGTTTGTGATTATTGGTTATATGTCCTACAAGTTGGTCGGCCCATACGCCACACTGACACCGTTCACAAACGAAAAGTTTGAGCTCGGGCTGAAATTTTGTCATCAAGTGTAAGGCGTCCAACTCTTGTACATTGATGAGACGACAGAGTGGATCCTCGCAATCAACCTGAGGTGCTGGAATTGCTACTGACTCCAAGGGATTAGGCTCAGCTCGGTTGCCTTCACCAAGACCATCAAAATCAGGCTGCATTCGTAAACCAGGAGCTGTAACGTGCCAGGAATCAGGATGAGTTACTGACTATACAGTGATTAGACTCACTTGGAGGTTCAGAATTGAACTCTACATCATCGTAGTCCCATTGAAGTGTGTTAAAATCAGACACTGCTTCAGCACCGTTAGTGGACATTAGGTTTGTGGGTAAAATTGGCAGTGATGATTGCGATGGTGTTGGTAGCAGTGGTGTCGGCATTGGTGTCTGCGACAGCGAGGGCACTGGGATAATCGGTATTGGTAATGTTGGAGTAGGTGGTATGAGTTGTGTGGGTGGTGCAGGATCTGGTGGTATAAAATCTTGCGACCCAGTCTCAGACGTTTGATCCATCTCGGTCTGAGATATATATAATGCACTATTCTGAGCACCAAAAGCCTTAGGACATACCGTGTTTTCATTCTCCCATGTATGGTTAGAAAGAATACCTGGATGTACAGTGCTAGAGTTCTGGTTCTGTAGCAAAAAATCGTTTGGTAGCTCCAATAAGGGGAATGATTTCAACGTACTGTGGATGAAGCAGAGGCCTCAAAAAACTTTTGACCGTATTTCTTCTGTAGATATTCTCCTAAGGAAAATGACGTCCATTTACCAACAGTTGGACCATATACACTCTCCGGTGTGTCGCCAGAACCTGGACCAATAGGACATCTGTCATGATGCTTTCGTATGCCATCAAGGTTACCAGACACAGAACACCCGCGATAGCGAAAGGGACAGCAAAATTTGCTATCTAAGAATGCACAAGGCCAATCTTTGCAACGCTTGAGTGAAAATGCACATGATTTAAAATGAGCGTCTTTGATTTTCTTCTTCGCCTTTAAATCGTTGTTTGGGAACTGGAGTGAAATTCGACAATGTGCACACTGCCAATCTTGCATAGCCTGTAAACAGCTGAGTTAATTCTCCAGAGACTGCAATTCGCATGTAAGCACCTTTGACCAGAATGAAAAAGTAGTACACGATTTCTGCGTTAATTGCTGCAAGTTTTCAAATCAATATTCCTGGATCTGTTGCGGCGATTGAAACTTTGGCACTACAGACTCATGTAACCAGCATCATGACGAGATATTCGGCAGCAATGATGCGGGATGCATCGTACTCGGACGTGCCATTACGGAGGCCTATCCCCAATCTGTCAAGATCATCATATGTAGGAAAAAAATTGTTGTTGGCAGGTTTCGAGCTTGCACTACACGAATAACAGATTTCTAGTCTGTTGTTCCAACCACTGGACTAAAACAGGTCAAATGGATATTCAGATGAAGAGATTGCTCTTGTTGGTAAGTTTCGAGTCTGCATGCATCTAAGAAAGAGTTGGATGGATTACAACGAAAATTGGTATTCAAGATCACACACGATTGATGATGAGAAATGATGACTGTTGACAAAAGACAACGTAATCGTGTCACCGTGAACTAGTGCAACTGCAGCTCGCCTACGGGCCTACGGCCCGCTCCAGCTTGGCGTTCATCGGTTTGCAAGTATTTTGGCCATCCTAAACAGACAGGGAAGGTTGTTGGTCCCCTCCACGGGCTGCCAATCTCTCTTAAGGATCAATTATGTATCGAGGGACTGGAAACTACTATGGGTAAGTAATGGTCGATGATCCCCTAGCCCTGACAAATTATGAATCATTGATATTAGGTTATGTCTCGTGGATTGGGTGGTACGCAGAGAAAAATGCAGTACTGGTCGACGTCCTGATCGAGTGTGGAGCCGTGCCATTCGTCCGAACCGACCTTCCACAAACAGTCATGGTGAGCGCATCCTCAAATTGATTCATGTTGCTACTTTGGGGGCTAAAGATATTTTCAGTGGCCAGAATCCTTCAATAATATCTTCGGCCGGACGACTAACCCACACAACCGCTCTCTTACCCCTGGTGGGTCCTCAGGAGGAGAGGGTGCGTTGGTTGCCCTGAAAGGAAGCCCTTTGGGGGTGGGTTCTGATATCGGGGGGTAAGAAGCGATTTGGAACTACGATTGGTAGTAACCTTCTGATGCCTTCTCCACAGTTCTATTCATATTCCCTCCGCATTTTGCGGCTTATACAGCCTGCGACCGTCGTACGGACGTGTACCGTACTGTGGCGCCCTCAACTCGCTTGAGGGCCAAGATTCGGTTCAATCCATGTTCGGTCCCATGACAAATAGCGTTGGCGGGGTCAAGGCCTTCATGAAAGCTGTTGTCAATGCAAAACCATGGCTCAAAGATCCTCTTGCAGTTAGGAAGAAATGGCAAGAAGACGAGTACAATCTCGCGGACCATGGATCTGGCAAGGACTTGTGCTTTGCAATCATGTGGGATGATGGCGTCGTCGTACCCCATCCGCCTATCAGGAGGTCTCTGGAAATGACCAAAGCGGCTTTGGAGAGGGCGGGCCACAAAGGTTTTTCTCGTATAACTCCTCTGTTGAATTACACTTATTTGGCGGTAGTAATTGACTGGAAGCCCATCAAGCATAGGTTGCTCGCAGATACCACGGTAAGAAATTATGTTTTTATAATTGTACTATCTATCGACTTAGCAGCGCTATGTAGCGGAACATTTGGAATGCTGCTTCATCTGAAGACTACATGATCACGACCTCTGTTACAGGGGAACCAATAATTGCGACGATGGAACTAGATAACTCGAATGCTGCGGCAGCACCCTTCCTTCCGAAGAAGATCGGTATCACCGCATACCAGCTCTGGCAAGTACAGAAACTGCGCAGGGATATTCGGAAAGAATATTTGGACCATTGGGAAGCAACGGTGTCAGAGACTGGGACTGGACGGCCTGTCGATGCTATCATTTGTCCAGCCTCATCATATGCAGCAACACCCCATGGGAAGAACAGGTCAGGGTCTGCTTTCTGGAATGAGGGACTATGATTGAGAAACGATGTGCAGGTACACTAATTACACCATGGTTTGGAACGCGCTCGACTATCCCGCTGTGACTTTCCCTGTGACCACTGTTGACCCCACTCTGGATACGAAGAAGTCTCGCCATGTTTTTTACGACGATTTTGATAAGGGTATTTATGACGTGTGTGAGTACTCACCAGCACCCCAGTTATTTCTGTATGGACTGATGATCGATTCAGATGACCCGGAGACATTCAAGAACGCGCCGATCTGCCTACAACTTGTGGCTCGCACTCTAGAGGAAGAGGCGGTCATAAAAATGACTGAAATTGTTGATGGGGCACTGGCAGCCGCTAAATAAATTCTAGCAATGATTCTAGCTGGACGGCCAAAAAATGTACTAGGTGCCCCCGCACAACGTGCGGCTAACATTAGTGGCATTTAGATTCATTGCAAAGTCAAAGTGGTATCCATGACTGCTTCTCGCCTACAATTGTTTATTCTAGAAAATATAGTAACGTCTCGTAATTCGGGACGCACGCTGCCTCAACTATAATTATGCTCACGCTACGTCGTGCTCCAGCATAGGCCCCTGAAGTAACAACTCGAACGCCAGTTGATCGGCCAGTTCGCAATAACCAGACGGAGTATAAAGCGAGTGAATCCCCCAAAGGCACTTCTTTACAAGGTCCCAGGACGTTTTGTGCGATTCTGATGGACGCTGAGTACTGAGCCCCATTGACCAAAAGTGGGTCTTCCATTCCGCGCATCTAAGAGCATCCACTTTCAGCCATTCTTCTAGTGGTCTGTTCTTGCTGAGGAGTTTGCCATCTTCATACCGAAGACAGACCCAGGTGAGGACCCAGATGAACGATTCAGCATCATGCGCGTACACGTGCCCGACCTTGCCTGCCATGGCTTCTGGCGTGAGAAGGCTTACCGCCATGAATGGTACAGTCCCTGTGCGCTCGAGGCTGCTGGGACCATCACGTTTGAATGACGATAAGTCGTAATCGTTGAGAACGCCTATGAATCGACCGCGTAAGCGGTACCCCATGAGATTGCTAGGGCTGACATCCCGGTGCAACACACCTCCCTTCCAGAGGGCGCGATGGCCTGTTGAAGTAGCGGATGAACGTTACTGAGCAGGAGAAGGGGGAAAAACCTACACTTTACAATTTGCCACCATGCGGCAAGGAACTCCTTGCCGGAAAGCGTGGTGATCGGGATAAGCTTTCTGAATACAAGTATATACAGGACACGGCTCCCCTGTTCAGCCTGTTCAGCATCCTTCAGTCCTAGTGCGATTCTGATTTTGGAGGTGGATGTTCCTTCAAACTTGTGGAACCAGACCAGCTCTGGGACGTGGCCCTGCACATCCAGATCTGTTTCTGCAATCTTGTAGACCTCCCTCAGGATGTCCGGCTCACTCTGACGTGTCTCTTCTGGCCAATAGAGCTTGGCGACCAGTTCAGGGGATTCGTTGAGAGAATGACGATCCTGTGGCAGACCTGATAGTGCCTTGCTCTTTACTGGAAACACGGTGGTTGCACGTCCGCGTATACCAAAATGAGTCACACGCTCATCAGACTTCACATCCAATTCGAGGTCTATTCCCGTATCCCCGACCGTCACCTCGCCAGAAAATCCAGGCACAGGCTCAAATACTCTGTTAAGGCCCCATTGCTCGTATCCCATCCGCTGCATGATGAGAAGCAAGACCAAGAAGCGTGGAAGGTCCTGAATGAAGTTGATGGCGGCGCCTTGAATGGTGTTCTCACGGTCAAAAAACCAGACGTAAATGAGGTCGTCTGGAACAAGTTCTTAGTTTGATGCCAGGTCAACAGCATCCCATCAGCTTACTGTTTACTAGAAAGGAGATGACGTGTTGCCGCGCGATATGAGCCGCGAACATCTCCGCGACGTACAAGCCATTCTGGACAATGGGATGGGGTTTTGTCGATTCCTTCTCTTCAAACTGGTTATCATCATTGCCGGCTCGCTTGCGCTTGACCCCTTTGCTGAGTTGCTGCGACGAGGGTCTTACTAACTCGAACACATGAGTAAGGAAGCAGAAGACGGATGTACTGCAACTCACATTCATTTGATGCTTCGTGGGGGGTCTGGGCAGATCCAGTGGCAGGTGTTGAACCAATTGGCTTAGCAGGACCATTGATGTCCTTCTTAAGCTCCATATCCTGCGCAGAAGGAGTAGAGACAACGTAATCTGTCTTATAAGTGGCTGGTGGATGAGTCAGAGGCTTCCGTGAGCGTTTTAACTCCAATGTCGATCGAATATCAGTCCATTGAAAGTTGTTCTTGGGTGATTTGTGCCCTATCTCAGTAAGAACCTGGGACTCTTGCGTTTGGTGTGCTTTCGCGGTTTGACGAGAGACGACGACAATGTCAGGCTTGCGTTCGGACTGTTTGCCCTGGTGGTCTTGGTATATGGGCATTGGATCATTGACATGAAGTAGGATGTTGGTCTTGTCGTCGACCTCAAAAGCAGGTATTCCATCGACGGTCACCTCGCTTAGTTCGCGGAGTGCACAGTTGGCGGCTCTGACGAAAGGAGCGTATGTTGATGGTTCATACTCGATATCACAACTTGATAATAGTCAGTCTTCTTTCATACTATTCAAAGCACTGACTTACAAATCAGTCAGGTATCCTTTAATTTCCTGCGCTACGGTCCCCACATTGCAGATAGGCAGTACAGCCTTGAAGGAAGTTTCGAGTAGCGTCGATTTTGCACAGGCAGAAAGGGACTGAGAAGAACCTGTGCACCTTGCAAGGAGCTCCTGCAGCATCGTGTCCGCCTCACATTTCTCAAAGCTTTGGACATCCCTCGTGATCCATGGGCGGACATTTTTGACTCTGCGTAAATGGTGAAGTTTAATATGGGTGATGGTGGCGAGAACAAAAGGAAGAGCTGACGCACTCAACGCCTACAGTACTGATATGTTCACTGATGACAGCAGAACCAACTGCTTGTGGGGTGGATTTCACAGCCTCGGCAGATAAGGCAGAGTTATGGGGAGGTGTCTTTGGTGCAGTGGCGCCAGCATTATTGGCCATGATAACGTCGATGATGCCCAAGGAGGCTCAGAAATAAAAGAAAAGTGAACGTTGAGAATAAGAATGCGTAAATCTGAGCTGGCTTTTAAACTAGCACAACACCATTGTTAGATATTTCGAGTAAAGGTCCCAATCGATAAGTAGTTGATGGCAGAGCCAATTTCACGATTAAGTTTGTGGCGCAGGTGACAACGAAATCAAATAAATTATCAAATCATCATCAGGACAAGTCCGAAAAAGCTTCCGCCGCATTTGACTCGGAGTTGGAGTTTTGCTCCAACAGAACATTATATATCTCCACTGTTTTCTTCGGC